ATGGATTTTGTCTTAACATGGTTGAGAGCAAGTGTAGTTGGTAGGGGGGGGTGCCTACTACTACTACTCCTACTACTCCTACTACTCCTACTACTACTACTCCTACTACTCCTACTACTCCTACTACTCCTACTACTCCTACTACTCCTACTACTCCTACTACTCCTACTACTCCTACTACTACCTCCTACTACTCCTACTACTCCTACTACTCCTACTACTCCTACTACTACTACTCCTACTACTCCTACTACTCCTACTACTCCTACTACTCCTACTACTACTACTCCTACTACTCTACTCCTACTACTCCTACTACTCCTACTACTCTACTACTCCTACTACTACTCCTACTACTCCTACTACTCCTACTACTCCTTCTACTCCTACTCCTACTCCTACTCCTACTACTACTACTACTACTACTACTATTACTACTACTACTACTGCTACTACTGCTGCTGCTGCTGCTGCTACTGCTACTGCTACTGCTACTGCTACTGCTACTGCTACTGCTACTGCTACTGCTACTGCTACTACTTCTACTACTAGTCCTGCTGCTGCTACTACTACTACTACTACTCCTGCTGCTGCTGCTGCGACTACTACTACTACTACTACTACTACTACTACTACTACTACTACTACTACTACTACTACTACTACTACGACTACGACTACGACTACGACTACGACATAGTTGTAATGCTTACGACAGTCATAACAATAATAGTACTGGTAAGGTTAATGCTAGTAGGAGTAGTAGTGGTAATAGTAGCGGACGTGATCATTTTCATCAGAATCAGAATGACTATACGAGTAATAGCACGACCAGCACTGACGATGTAATCATAACGACGCTAACAGAAAAAGAACTTAAGGAAGCATGGCTTAGGGTTAAGAGCTGGTCTGTCTAGAGGGGCTTCAGCTGCATATAGCGCACAGTGCCTTTTAGGGCAGTCTAGAGTTAAGGGTTTAGAACCAAAACCTCAAACCGTGAACCACTGTTGAAGCCGAAGCATCATGCTCCCAGGTCATACGATTTTGGCCGCTCAACCCCACATATCAGAGTGCTCGAATCCCCAAAGAACCAAACCTGACCCCCCGAAGCCGTGTAATCACAGTTCGTATGAATGGTCTGTCCCATTAGGGATACCATAGTTACCATAGTTCTTACAAGCAGCAAAGCGAGACCAAAATGTAGAACACAGGTTTTAGGAAGGTTGCCTTAGTAATGGTATCATAATTCTCCCATTATTCTTCAGATATTTTCGAGATCCTTTAGCCTTCGGCCTCCTAACAGGGACGGTGACGCTCTGAGCCCCAGAATGCGTATTTGGGTTCGAGAAGGCTTTCATCAGGGTTTTACAGGCTCACAAACCTGGCTGTCAGCTGAGGAAGCGGTCTGCGTCCGGAAAAAGCCACTCGGTGGGATCAAAGGGTCAAAGGGTCGAGGGTGAAGGATTTCGGGCTGAACCCCCAAAAAAGACCACGGTCCAAGCCCTGCGCTGAAAGCCCAAACCCCAAAATGCAAAATTATTGTAAAACCCCGAGCCCATAAAACCCTACAGCCCTAAAGCCCTAAAGCCCGAAGCCCTCATAGAACCCCCCCCCCACCAACCCTAAACCCTTGACCCTAAACCCTAAACCCTAAAACCCTGTAGGGCTCGAAGGGTGCTCACTATGTCGAACATGAGGTGATCACTCTGCGGTGTCTGTCAGTATGCTGTCGTCGTGGATTGAGGTTTTTCTGTGCCTTTGGGCGAATGTGCTGGCGGTAAGGGCCAAGCCATTTCCTGGCCGTATGGCCTCTCGGGACCCTTCTCAGGCGACGGAGAAAAGGAGCTCAACAAAAAAAAACCTTAAACCCTAAACCCTAAACCCTAAGCCCTAAACCCTAAGCCCTAAACCCTAAACCCTAAGCGAGGTTTCGGCTCCCAGCTTTCGGCGAAGTCCGAGGGATCCGCTCTCACCGGGGCCGCCTGGGCGGATCTTCGAGGGCCTTGGGGGGCTTTTGGGGGCTTGAAGGGGGGCTTTAAGGGGGCTGTAAGGGGGATTTTTCAGGGGGCCTTGGGAGGGTTCCGGGGTTCAAAGCTTCAGGGTTCAGGGTTTTGGGCCTAGGGTTCAGGGTTTAGGGTTCAGGGTGTAGGGTGAAGGGTTCCGGGTTTAGGGTTGGTTTAGGGGTTTCTTTTGCTGTGGGGAGGGGTTTGGGGTGCGGTGCTTGGGAGGGAGATGGATTCTTATATAAAGGGCGGTGGACTAGGATGTGATTTATTTCTGCAGGGCTTCGGGCTCTGATGATTTAAGTTATGATTGATGCAATGGCTCTGCCTTGCTGCGCACATCTTGGAGAAGAAGAACGCTTCACAAAAAAGAGACTGAGGTTCAGGTGATGCTACTATGGAAGTTTCCCAAACCCGAAGCACAAGCCTTGAAAGCTCAATGCATTGCACTCAGGGAGTCAGCAGGCTAAGTTGTTCAAGAGGTACATAAACTTGTGTTATCACACCTTCCGTCATACTGGGGGACCCCTTGTACGCTACGAAGTACCCAGCCCGAACGCCTACATCTTCGACCTTATTTCATGAGGGCCGTTGAATGCGGGGTTTGGGGCTCAGGGTTTGCATTGCCAGTGAAACTAGCGGGAATGCCTGCAAGACCTAGAGCAAGCAAAGGAAACAATCAATCCCCCAGATACTTTCCAACGCCAATTCTGTTAACCTGGAGCCTCAGTCCCGAATTGAGAAGGGTCCCACTACTGAGGGGCTTTAACCTACCAGGACCTACTCTTCTTGGTGAGGCCCCTTCAAATATTCCCATGGTAGGGTTTATAACACGAACCTACCAAAATGTAATCTGGTAGTTTAAGGCACAAGTGGGGAAAGCACCTCAGATGTCCAGGGGGCTCAGAGCCTTCGCCCAGAACCTGGGGCCCAAACCGAAAGCACTTTCATGGGATTGGGATTGAAAACAAAAATCCTTGACCCTAAAACCTAAAACCACAACCCAACCCCCAAAGCCCTGAACCCCTAAACCCGAGGAATTTCGGGCACCCAGTGACCCCTAAGCTCAAACGTAAGCCCCAAACGCTGCACTCTTCACTTGAAGCCGTCAGCCTTGAACCTTGTTACCCTCGACTTCTTATCAAAGGGGAAAAGGAGGGACCCTCAATGCGGACCCCTACCCTATAATGGGCTATATAATGGGTATATAATAGCTATATTAAGGGTATATACCTAGGGGTCCTTATTAAGGGTCCCTCCTTTTACCCTCGACTTCTTAGGATCAGAGCATCACGGCTCATGCCCGACTTCGAAAGCTTCAGGAGCTTGATAAGGCCGACCTCACAGCGTTCCTGGCTTCGGCTTGGGCTTTTGGAGTCCTTTCCCTAAACCCTAAACCCTAAACCGGTTTAGGGTTTAGGGTTTAGGGCTTTATATAGGAGTCTTAATAATTAGAAGAGGGTTGTGAGGCCCATCATACTATAATTATAACAGGGACCTTCAAAATGGACTTGGTAAGTATTTAGGCCCCCATATGAGGGTTCCGCGGTTTTGGGTTCAGGGTTTGGGGGTTTATACCGAAGTCTCGGGGTCCAGTAGGGGCTTCCGGGACAGGGTTGATGGTTGGATTGTCAGGCCTTGGGGTTCAGCCGGGTCCACGTGCTCTGGGTGTGGAACTGTAGGAAAGGGAGGTGCATCCAGGTGTTGCAACTTAAATAAATCAAGTCTATAAGCTTGCAGTCTGTCTATGAGGTGAGAAAGAGTCTGGAGCCCTTGAATCCTAAACAACACCCTAGAGCGCCTCCGCCCTACACGCTGAACCTGAAAGCTCAGCAGCGGCCGCAGCGACCCCCCAGCCCCCGGCAGCTGGAGGCGACAAAGATACCCTTCATCATGGTTGAGCTGCGTGGAATCTTGGATCAATAGTTTAATAAATTTTCCTAGTAATAGTAACACAAGTAGTAGTTCATATTATTGTGATTAGTACTGTTATTTAGAAGCTGCTGTGTCAGTGGCGGACCCTATTCTAACTTTTAAGGCCCTACATTACATCTCTCTGGCGTTAAGGAGGCGGCGGGGAGAGCTACATAGAGATCTGCGGCAAGGACGAGTATGGCGTGGCCTGGCAGAAGGAGCAATGATTTGCATTTCTGCCGATTTGACTCAGGCCCGGTTTTTTGGCCTGCCCAAGCGCTTCACCCTACTGTATAGCCCCATGTCCCAGACCCGCAACAAGTGTGGGGAGCAGTTGCTTGTCCGACGATCATGGACCCCACATGGGCCTGCTCGGTGCCCAGGTTTACGGCTTCTTGGACAAGTTCCTCAGGGAAGAACCTCGGATAGCAGTGGTTGCCTCGACTTCGCAATCTATGCTTCCACATTCTGTGACACAGTTTACTTCAGAACTTTCGTGTCGCATCCGGCTTTGGAACCCTTCTGACTTCGTGTCTAAGCTTCCTAAGACTGGAGAGGCTCGCGCAATAGAGCAGGAAGAATATTACCAATGCTGTTTCTTAAGGTTCCGACTCCAGGTATAGTCTAAGACACCCCGAAAGGGTTACAGTTGCAGTGGTAGCAGTCGTGATCGCCACCGGAGTCGTCGTCTTGGTCGCGGTAGTAGGTGGCAGTGGTCACACGCGGTGGCCGTCGTAGAAATCACATTCGTCATCAGACTAGGAAGACGAAGAGGATGAGGAAGAACTAGGTTCCTGTTCAGGAACTTAGTGTAAGTTACCATAAGTAAGAAACCATATTATTTACTATAGGTCCATAGTATGGTAACTTAAATCAAATCCCTTAAGAGCCCAGACAACAGCACTCCTGGGTCGGCTGCAAAGTCCCTACGGATTCTTGGGAGCAGTTCGCGAAAGAGCCATTTGGAACGTAGGATTTCGTTCTGGAGGGCCGAGAGCTCCAGGGAACTCTTGAAAAAGGGTACTAGGGTTACTAGAGGGGGTACTACAAGAGAATGTTAAAGGATACTACCAGGGTACAAAAATGGTATGCAGACTCCCAAAGGAATGGTCCTGCCAGAAGCTGGATGCTGGAGATCTCAGCGACGACACGCAGCTGCCTTTCTGCGATGCCCTTTACAGCTGGCCCTTCTTCAAGGCCTCTTCAGAGCGATCATGGGTTGAGGGTTTCGACTCCAGGTATCAGGGTTGCAGGTTAATGGTCTTGTCCTGTGTATCCATACACCGCCACACGCCCTTGCACATCTTGTACAGTCTCCGGCATAGAATTCCCATGGACTTAGCATGACTCTTCCGGAAAAACAGCTGCGCCCGCAGAAGCGAGCTGCTGCATGCAAACCTCCCAAATCCTGGATATAAACTGCCCTGCAACGGGACCCAAGAACCCACACTCTCGTCCGACAGAACCCTCACCCTGAACGCCCTAAACCCTAAACCCTAAACCCTAAACCCTGAACCCTAAACCCTAAACCCTAAACCCTGAACCCCTTATCCCACACCTACGGCCGAACTTCGAGACGAACCGACGTCCCCCGTCGTGAATGGTGGTGGTTTAACCGGGGGGCATCCTTCAAAGGCCTGAATCCTCAACCGTTAACGCTGAAATCCTTGATCCCCAAACCCCTAAACCCCTAAACCCTAAACCTTAAACCCTAAACCCGGAACAGTGATATCCTAAAGAAAATCGGTCGCAGAAATTCGGTCGCAAGCCTTCATGTCTATCAACCCTGAGCTCCCTATGATATACCCCCCAACTTGCAGTGTCCAGGGCTCCGGGCATTGGTTGTTGGTGTTAAGCCCTACTTAGAGAGGATCAGGGGCTTGAGCAAGATTATAATTAAGTAAGATTATCATAAGTATATCTACTTTAAGTAATGCCAAGCTGGCGATGTCCAGGCAGTCGCGACGAAGGATCAGGGTTTCAGGGCTGGCGGCTTTGTTTGTGTTTAGAGGTTTTTGCGGGCTAAGAGGTCAGGATTGTTCCTTCCACAAACTGCGAAGAGAATTTGTTTATGAAGCCCCAGCCCCGCTATGAGCGTCGCATATCGCAAACAGCAGCCAGGCGGCCGGCGAAGAGGGTCTCAGCCACTCTGCTGCAATGGATCTCTTTCCGAGCGTTTTCGGCAGTAATTGGGGTTCGTGGATAAAGACATGAGAAGTACGAGCCGCACCCCCCCCGACACCTTGCACACCAAACTTCAAATCCTAAACCCCTAAACCCCAACACTCCGCCCTCCGTGCTACAGTCCTTCCGAGGTAACATGGGCCTTGCAACGATGCGAGCCTCGTCGGCATCAAACTGCGGGTCCAGAGGTCTGCAAACGCTACCATGCAATATAGGGACCTTACCGCTTGGAACAGGGTTGTGGGGCATGCAGCACATTATTCTACAATTATGTAGGTGTTACGCCTTTCAGTACGGGCTTTGGAGGGTTTAGGGTTTAGGGCAACCTTAGTGTCCTGCAGGGTCTGCGGATTGGGAGAGTAGATCACATTACTTAATACTACCAAACAAGACCATGTCATAACCCAGCATATACAGGGAGCCCACGGCAGCACGTAAACATACACGCTTGAAGGCATGACGGGCCAGCTTTCAATGCACTCCCCCGCAAGATGTAAGACGGCCCTCCGGAAGCTGTCGGCAGAGAACTGCCAAGGACTCGTTGACTACATGTGTAACCAGCTGAGCTGGACACTTGGTGTCATCAACGGCGGCAACGTCGGCTCAAAGGTCCTAGAAGTCTCAACCCCCCCCCCCCCCCAAACCCTAAACCCTAAGCCAACACGCCCTGGAAGATGTTTAAGCTGAAGTGCTGATGCTTCGCACGTGCCCCATAAACTGGTGCTAAGCAACCGCAAGCAGAAAAATCAGCTAGGGCTCCTCTGAAATCAGGAGCCCAAGCTAAGAGTCCTTAACGAGGGTCTTACAACTCAGGGTCCAAATCGAGGCCCCGCATTTTCGGGGACTTCCACTTCTGTCTTGGGATCGGACATGGGGGTTGTTAATGAAACTGGGGTCTAATGTAGGGGCCTTAATAGTTAGAATAGGGTTTCGGGGTATCTTATACGATAAATACAATACTGACCCCCCCCCCCCCCAAAAAAAAAAAAAAAAAAAAAATATTTGTAATCGTTTAAGTCCGTACAGTACAACTTCGGAACTTCGGAGCCCCTCTTCAGCGAGAGATCTGTCATGGAGCCGCGGATACGGGTTAGGGTTTTAGGGTGTCGGGGTATCTGGGTTTGGGGGATGGAGAGCATGCCTCAGTTTAGATTGAGACGTGCTTAGAAGTTCTAGGAACCAGCCTGCTATGAAGCTAAAACGGCTTTCTGATCCAGCTGCTGCGAACAAGACGGTCAATAAGTTCAGAAGTTCAGAAGTGCGCCCCATGTCGATGCTGTACACTGCGTTCACATCTTTCGACAATTTCAACATGGAACTGGTGACTGGAGAGCAGAAGAGGTAGGGGAGAGATGGCTTCTGGAGGCGAATAAATGCTCTGCACATGCGCTCCCTGCAGAGCGAGGGTGAGTTTCTGTGGTGCTTGAGAGAGAGTGTCCCTTTGGCGCCGGTGCTCAACTTAACACCATGCACGGATAACTGGTTCTGTGAGTGCACTGGGTCTGTCTTAGAACCCTTGAACTGCCCAGATCTCCACGCCTTTGAGAGCCTCTGAGCCAGAGAGTCAAGCCATCGAGCAACAGGCCTGACGAAGCACACATCTACACTCCGATAGTCTAAACCTCCTGAACTCTAGAAACTCGTGCACTCGACGGTGACCTGGATGACCTAAAGCATCGACGACTATGACGACGACAGCCACGGGCCACAACCTCTTCTGCATTCCTAAACCCTCAACCCAAACCCTGCTATACCCGCTAAATATAGAGGCCTGAATTATAAATACTCTTCCTTAGGGCTCCTTTTGTGTTAATTATACTGTAATGCATCCCAAAAGCCAGTCTAGTTGTTAAGGCCCTATATTGCTTGCGTCTGGCAGGGCGAGGTCCGCGAGCAGCAGATCGTTTTCAAAGCGCCTCACCCGATGCCGCCCGGCTTGCGAGATGCAGGTCTAGTGGTGTCTAGTGTAGGATTAATAGTGAAACCCTGCTGCGGTCCCTATGTAGTCAGACGATTATCTACCCCAACGCTTTATTTTGTGTGTTGAGGATCACCCTTTCGCTACTCTGACAGAAAGATGCACCAACGGACTTAAAACAAGGCACAGATCCCGAGGCAAGAAGCAGCGCCCTTTCCTCCTGCAAAACGCTCGGCGATTTTATGATCTAGGATTCATGTCATGATGTCTCGCAGGAGGGTTCAAGGCTCCACAGAAGCTTCAGTCGTCAATGAACCGTTCACGGTTTCTGTTAAGTTTTTTAGCAGTGCTTCAACACTAGACGGCGGCATCTTAGGGTTTAGGGTTCTGGGTTCTGGGATATACCCAGAAATCACATTGGCTTCACAAGCTAGATGAGCAGCTCTGCTTCAAGGTTGCCTTGTAAGTAAGTGCGCTTAGGGATTAGGGTTTAGGGTTTAGGAGTTTGAGAAGCTGGTTAGTAGCCAGATAAATCCCCAAATGCACCTCGGTTCAGTAAGTTACACAGTTCCTCTCGACTGTCTGTAGTACTACCGTACTACCGGCTCCATGAGTATGTCATTCTTCTTTGCCCACTTTTCTGCAATCAGAGCCTTAAATGCAATCAAGCATGAAAGCCGCGGAAGTGCTAGTCAAATCGGAGTTTCAGGAAGTAAGTGCCAAGCTTAAAGATCCTCTTCATCAAACAGTCCCAACTGGGCCAGGAATTTGGTCAGCACCCACGTCATGGTCGAACTGCGATCGGCAGGCGGAAGAGTTGATGAGCTGTTCATGTTTCGCGAAATGTTCCGGGCGAGGTTTGCTTTTTCGAGCCCTGAGCACTAAGTCCATCAGCAAGACCATGAGCACATCTGACCCGACACCCTAAACTGCAAGCCTTGAAATGCAAAAGACAACCTTACGTTTGCGCAACCTTATGCAGCCCAAGTTGGATTCCGCAAGCTCTCCACCCGCGATCTAGTGCAAAAGAGAAGTGGACGGGATTAGCGTCCCGATGCCCCTTGTATATTCCTTATACGCCTAGAAAGAAAGCCAAAATTCATCCTGCTGAAGCCCTTAAATGTTCCTGAAGTACGGGGTTTTGGAGTCTCTGGACTACTGTACCTGCGAAGGCTATGTGGAGCTCTGCGGCAGCGACGCGGGCGCGCTTACAACGCTCCGAGAGCACTTCGAGAGCCAATATGGAGCGGAGGTTGAAGAAGGATCGACGGGTTAGGGCTCAGTTGGACCCTAAGGAACCTACATGTTTTGGGTTCCTTGTGATCATTTCCTGAGATGAGTCCCAAAAAGGGTATTCTATTTGGGGTGAAGGTAAGGCGCAGGTCGCGGAAGGATTGGCTGTGGAGGATTGAGGGCTTTGGCACGTAGGGTGCAGGGTGTTGGGGGTGTAGGATGTAGCGTTTCAGGGCTTGGGATGTAGGGCTTTGGGATCTACAGCGCAGGCCGTGGACCGACTGCACAAGTGCCCTTCTGGATGGAGAATCGAGCGTGGGAGAGTTCCATTTATGATTCGCTTATCTGCTGAATCAAAACGAAAGCCCGAAGAACCAGTCATACCGCCCCAATGTACTGTATCCCGGAAGCCCTCATCGAAGAATTAAGGCCCCTATAGTCGAATAAGTTAAGGCATTCACGGTACTGGCTGTGTAGATTTTATAAGAATGTAACTGCTGCTGTATGGTGTTGTAGGGTTGTGTAGGGGCATCCTATCAGGGTCTATAATATAGGGTTTGCGGTTTTATAGTCTGTACCTGTACCACCTAGGAACGTCCAAACACATTGAACCCCAAGCCTGAAGTGCCGGACAAGTGTGGGTTTGCTGACCTCGGGGTGTTTGCACGCTTCCGCAGAGGAAAACGAAGCCACAAAGGCAAACACGCAAGCCTCGAATCCTGCAACTGATGCCTGTGACCTTGAACCTTGGAACATGCTGGTGCTGGAGGACATGATGAGTTTTGCGACATCTGCCTCAAGGTTGGCAGCGGCATGTTCAAGGAGCGCGGGAGAAGTGGTGAGAACAACATCGGCCAGCTCACCAGCCGCTCGGTCGGTTTGGCCTAGGACTGTCTAGGGCCGTAAGGACATTCATGGGTCAGGGGTCTAGGAATTTAGGCTTTGGGCTTAGTTATCCGGGAGTGCCTCGCACTGTGCTGCTGCGAAGCTAAGCCGCACCACAAGTGGGTTTGAGGGGCTCAAAGTCAAGCAGCCAGACTCCATCGAAATGATTCCGGCCCTTTGGGGTTTTGGATTGCGGAACCATGAACCAAAGCCCAGCAATATCCCAGGTGAGGTTTGCGATTCTGCGGTGACCATACTCCCCGGCTTCAGCCTCGTTACCATCAACGGAGGCGGGCAAGCGCAGCAGATGGGATGTCATGGGCCTTTGTAGCATGATTTTTGCGAGAGAGAACCCCTAAAGCCATGGTCCCATATCGTGTTTCGAGTATTGTAGTTTAGATCATAACCTCGGACCTGGGGTAGCCAGAATCAGCATGGTTCAACCGTTCAACCCCTAACGAAACAACCTGCACTACTTGCGGCAACCATGGCGACGATCAGGTAGGCAGAATCAACATGGTTCAACTCCAACGAAGCAATCTGTACAACTGCATGAGGCAACTACGGTGACGATGGCTCGCACCGAGAGCAACAGCAACTGCGTCGCACATCCGGGGGCTGGATTCGGTCAGAGGGCATGTGAAATGTTGGCCGTTGCGGGTCCAATGCAGATTCTGGTGTGTTACGTGCAGTCTGCCGTTTCAGGGGTCCTTGTAGTAAGAATCCTGTTATTTAGGATTTACATTACGATCCGAGAGGAATCCCAAAAGCCCACGCCAGACCAAAACCACTTGCCAGACCCAGAAAAGAGTAATACAGGGGGCCTGGGCAACTACTTGGACCCCCAAACAACCTACCTTTTGAGGCCTTATATAAGGAAATCATAATAGGGAGCCCTAAAACGGAAGGCTTTGTAGGGTCCAGGTAGTACATACTGCTTGCCACGGCTTGCTGTTCCTTGACGCTTCTTGCTGCAGTTCCTGGAGTTAAGAATATATGGTTTAGGGTTTGAGGTTTAGGGTTTAGGGTCTTAATACAGAATCTAAGTCTTAAGACCCCTGTGGTAAAAACAGATGCCTATTGATCTGAGGATGGTCTTCCGGTGGGACAACCACCCTCTGCGCGAAGCCCCACACCTTTTGGTGGAGCTGAGAGAAGCTGGCTATATCGAGGCAAACGGCTTTTAAAAGGTGAGCAATATAGGGGCCCTAATGATTACCTATACCATTTTGGGGGCTCCTCTAAAAGGCTTCTATGGTGAGCAAAAAAAGGGGCCTGAGTGATGAGCTACACTATTTTGGGGGCTCCTTATTATAATTATACTGTGATATGCCCCAAAACCCTATTAAGGCCCTATTTTTTGGTTTTAGAGGGAACCGGGGTCCAGGGGTTAAGATTCAGGACTTGGGGTTTGGGAATTACGGTTTAGGGTTTTTGGATTTAGGTTTTCAAGATATTTGGGTATAGGCTTCGTCCCAACAGCCTGGTGTCTACTTGGAGGATCATGGGACTTAGCAAGTAGGGTTACAAGTACCTTAATTAAGGTTGTACGTAGATATAACTATAGTTACCTTACTTATAACCCTACTTACTAAGTCCGCTGATCCTCCAAGTAAGGCAACTCTCAATCTCACCGAAGCTGCGCAACGCGCAAGTTCAACATGGAAGCTTCATAGCCCTGGAAGAACGCCCGCCACTCCTTTTGCCCCCCGGGAGATGCCAACTGGCCCTGTCGGAAGTGTTCCTTCTTCGTCCCCGACTTCAGTGCAGCTTCGGGTCTCCAGTCTTCAAGGCCTAGAAGCTTGAGACTCAGACGGAGTGTAGGGTTTAGGGTATAGCCTACACCGTATAGGGTTTAGGGTTGCGGCCTCCTACCCACAGTTGTGACTGGGTCTGACAGGGTGGTTTTAATGTGAATCGCTAAGACAGCGTTGTGCATCGGAAGCTGAGCCAGCTGGTACATACATCTCCTGCGAAGCAGTTTAGTTTTCCGGTTACACATGGGTAGTTGTCAAAATGATGGCCCCTTTTTGGGTATTCTAAATATGAGGTGCCGTATTATAATCAGGACCCAAAAAGGGACCCTAATTTTGACAACCACCCACATGCCAACCTGCATCAGATCTGTGGACAAGATGTTGACGGCATCCATGGGAAGCTCACGAAGTTCTTGAAGGCGCAGCATCCTTTCAAGGGGGGGGGGGTAGCTTGTCTGTAGACGCGGACCTGAACCTAAAGCCTTGGTTTGCAGAGTGCGTTCGATTGTCAGAATCTGCAAAAGCCTAAGCCTCAAACCATAGAAGGATACCCCCAAACATTTGTTCCAGACTTTCGGGCTTGTGGGCTGGGGATTTTGGGGTAAGTGTTCAGAGTGCACCAATGGGAGTTAGAAAGCTAAAGTTGAAGCTGGCACCCTTTCCCTCCCGGAAGCAGCCAGCGATTGAATTTGAACCGACTCTGCAATACAGGGGCCTTAATACTTAGAACTGGGTTTTGGGGCCCACTATACTATAAGTACAGAAACTCGCAAAACAGTATAGGCAACTATTCAGGCGCCTATATTAGTTGATTCCGCCTCCGTCTCGCTCCAACATGCCGACAAACCCTAAACCCTAAACCCTAAACCCTAAACCCTAAACCCCTAAACCCTAAACCCCTAAACCCTAAACCCTCCAGGAGAAGTGGCGTTGCAAGGATTCGGTGAAGATCCCGGGCCAGGTTCCGGCTTCCGGGCTGAGGGTTCAAGATCCAGGGCTTGGGGCTTAGGGTTTAGGGGTTTTAGGGGTTTTAGGGGTTTTAGGGGTTTAGGGGTTTTAGGGGTTTTAGGGGTTTAGGGGCTTAGGGGTTTTAGGGGTTTAGGGGTTTCGGGGTCTAGGGGTTCAAGGGTTTAGGGGTTTAAGGGTTGAGGGGTTTAAGTTTAGGGGTGCTGAAGAGTTGAGGCCTCGGTGGTTTAGGCAAGTTGAGCACTGATACTTTGGCTCGAGACATAGAAACATGAAAGCACCATGCCCTACGCCATCCTATGCCTTCACGACAGTACCCTGGATTCATGGGACCCCTGCGTAGCTAACAAAGGCTGTAGGCCTCTAAACCCCAACCCTGAACCCCAACACTGAGCCCAAAATCCCCAGAGTCCCTAAGCCATTAAATTCTAGGATGCCGAGTAGTACCCTTATTCCTTTTTTGTAGTCCTAGGTTCCTTATCAAGTTACCCAATACCGAAAAGAGAGGCCTTTTTATTCTTAGGTTACTGGGTATCCTAGAATTGAAAGATCCCTTCAAAACGTCCCTGTGAATGAAGACTGCGGAGTTCCCAGAAAGACCTCGCCGCAAGAAAGTGGCAGGAGCCCTTCTGCGATGTCAAGCTCGCATGGTCCTCAAAGGAGAGAGAGACCGAAACACCCTTTTTATTATTACTACTATTAATGATTAATATTATCATTATTAGTTATTCTGACTTGAAACTCAAGTAAGACTGTAATTACGGTAACCTTTGTTCTATTTCTAGCCCGCCTTACGGGGCCAGGACTCGATGCCAAAAGCATGAACCTCAATTTGGGGGCAGAACAGGGCTTTGAGGTTTGGGATATGTAGTACAGAGGATTACGAGTGTAAGGGGACAATGGCATGATTCACCCAGTAGCCCTCAGTGCTTGCCTTCGTCGAAGCAATGCTTTCCTCACATCACGCTCCTCGCTGAATCCGGAGACCTCAAACCAGAACCTTCTTCAAAACCCGTTCAAACCTTTTCAAGACCCTGATAAACCAATACAGAGCAGCAAAACCCCACCCCATGAAGCACGACCAGAAACCTTGTGCAAAAACCCGCTTGAACCCTTTTAAGGCCTTCTCCCTCATGTACGAATGTTAGCAGAGTAAAGCCATCTAGGCTGCCTGAGCCTTAGGGTTCTGTAGGGTTTAGCTTGGGATTATGCGGATGTCTGTGTTGGGGAAATACGGGCCCGGCTTTTCTCTGCCTTCACGGCCATATGTTTGGTGCACATTACTTCTTGAGTGGTGTTCGTCTGTAATTGCAATGATGGTATGTAGGCATGTGTTGTTAATACTTTCCGGACAACAAAATACAAAATCAGGTAAAGAATGTAGGGATTGGAAGGGAGCACACAGAAAGGTATGCAAAGGTGTGGAGCTACATACACACAAGGGCCGCAGGCGTGGGCGGGGAGGGAAAAGAGCACAAAATGATGCGTACCCTTCGCTCTACCTCTTCCATTGTTTCTACCTCTCTTTGCGTGTGTATCCTTATGTGCATTTTGTGTAGTTCTTCCTTTTTTTGCCTCCGGACTGCGTTATAATGCTGTGGTGTATGCTTCTCTTACAGTTTGTGAATGTATCGTGATAACGTGAGTTACGGGCCTATGTAGTTCACACATGCACTATAATACTTGTAGACCATGATACATATATACATGTATCATCGTTTGATGACTTCGCTACTAGGTGATTTTCTCGTGACGGACTGTGTTGCATAATATTCACTGTGTTTTTCGATCAGATGAAGTCTGTTGCCCTACATTTCGACGCGCTATAACTGAGGCTTAGTCAGTCTTGCATGCTTAAACCCTTCGACCACTACTTCGAGTCGTGGCGCCCCTGTAGAATCCATGCGGATTGCTGTAATGGGATCTAGGGTGTATTTTCTATATTCCACATGCCCACGCCGGATTCCCTAAACCCCAGACGTCTAATCCCGAGCCCTGAACACCAAACCCTCAACCAGCAGCCCAAGCCCTAAACCCTAAACTCTAAGCCCTAAACCCTAAGCCCTAAACCCCCTAAAACCCCAAACCCCGAGCCCTAAACATGCCTCAAGCTCGAGTCGCCAGGACATGATGTGGGCGTCCGCGGACCTCACGAGCTTCTTTCATGGCCTTGGCTGGCAGATGCAGGCCCGCGGATAAAATCTACGGGCCTCAATAGTTACCAATACTATTTTAGGGTTCCCTGTTATATTTATAGTAGAATGGGCCCCAAAACCCAATTCTAGCTGTGAATGCCGCTATATTAGGTCGTTCATCGGTCATTTTTTGAGCCTGCTGACGTGATTTGCCGCGGGCTTTACAGGTTTCTTTGGGCGCTCTTGCGTTTCAGGGTCCTTGTTTTGAGTCCATATATTCGGGGTCGCAGTATTTTGTGAGGAGTCGGCTTTTGCATGTTGTTTACTTGGATTTTGGTTACGGTTGTTGTGTCAGTTGTGTTCTCTGTTTCCTACGATTGCGATTCGTTGGTTGTCATGGAGTTATGATACTTATAACTCTGCAAAGCAGCTACTTACTAACTCCCCCGACCCTCCATGTATGTGCCCGACAGTCGCCAGGTCTGCTCTCAGGGGACCGTGGTGACCAAGAGGGGAAAGTCAGAGAGTCGAGAGCAGCAGATTCTGTTCCGACCAGGACGGGTCGGCCTACTATAGGTTATAGGATCCTTAAGGGAGGGTGGTTCAAGGGGGGAGGCTATAAGGAATCCTTAGGGGACTGTAAGGGAACCTTAGGGAATACTAGGGAGAATTAGGGATCACTAGGCTATATACCCCCCTTGGACCCCCCTCCCTTAAGGATACTATAAGGGCCTAACTAAGTATCAACACTACTGTGGGGGCTCCTTATTATATTTATAGTATAATGGCCCACAAAAGCCTATTCTAATTGTTCAGGCCCTACATCATGTAATATAGGGCCGGAACAAATACATGTCGTCCCTTGGAGCTCGCAATCTAATGGTAGTACAAGGCAGCTCGAAACCGTATCCTAATTCTGCAGGGCTACTACATGGGCTGCTGTCGGGTTTCCATGGTTCAGTGTTCCAGGTTTAGGATACTGTGCGCTTCTTGTCTAGGGCTGGCTTTACACCGGTCAGAATGATCGCGATGACTGAAGCAACCCTCTTCTAGAATTCTAGAAATGACAACATGGGTGCCGGAATAGTTAATGCTTTTTCCCCAACGTTCCTAAGTGGATTCTTACGGAATACGTTCAGACCGGAAATCCTCGTCAAATCTTGTCGGCCTCTTCCTGGAGAGTTCTCAAGTGAGGATCCCTTTTCAGACGTCCGAGAGAATACGTCACGCTTGCATTACGGACCACCACAGTGCAGAGTAGCTCAAGAAAGTGAAACCCTTGAAATAGACCCACGCCAACCCTTACAGCTTCCTTTGGTCGTAATCCACATTGTAGCCCCTTTGGTAAACCTGAAAGTAGCAATTGAAAGAGGATCCTCGCGGGAGGGTGCCGTGGAGCCTCACCTGTTTTTGGAGCTCTACACTGGTGAAGGCCGAGTGTCGTGCAGGGTTTAGGGCTTTTTTAGTTCAGAAACCGGGCAAGCCCGCCGGTTTGGACTTTCGGCTTTACGGTTTGGACAGTGCAGCAGTGCTGGAGTCGTTGAGAGCCTGACAACCGACCGCAGCAAGAACCTGCAAAGCTGACGTGCGCGGTTGTAAGTCTACGCCGTGAGGCATGCAGAAGCGAAAATGCTTGAGCCAAAGCCTCGCAGCATTCCTGAAACCTTGCACTGGACCCTCCCCAAACCCTCAATCCTCAGCTTTAAACCCTACGCTCCGTACAGAACTATGATAGAGCCCTCAACCCTAACCTCCTTATAGAACCCCCTAAAGTCCTTCCCTAAATCCTAAACCCCTAAACCCTAGACCCTAAACCTCAAAGCCTCAACAGCAGCTACCCACGAAGACTGTGGAGGCTCGGAGGAGCTCTATGCTCAGCCGGACGTGACACAGGCAGTTTAGGGTTAGGGTTTAGGGTGCAGGGTTTGGCTTTAGGGTTCATGGCTTCGGGTTTAGGGCTTAGGGTCTAGAGGTTGGGGTTGAGATGACAGTTTAGGGGTTCGGGTTGTGCAGTTTCGGGGCAGCTCTGGGAAAGAATCTGGGGCTTTTGTTCTAGGGCCGAGGATTTTTGGGAAATTGTCAGGGCGTTTGGGCTTTAGGCTCCATGTTAGGTATAGGGTTTAGGGCTTGTGGGGGTTAAACCCTAAACCCTAAACCCTAAACCCTAAACCCTAAACCCTAAACCCTAAACTTAAGGTTTTAGGGTTTGTAGGGTTGTTAGGGCGTTCGGGTCCTCGGGCCTTCGTTTGATTGCTAAGACAATGATTCTGACTATGGCTGTGACGATGCTTCTGCTTTTCATACGTTTTTTGGCAATGGCGGCATTCAGTATGGTCACGATGGTTATCAGGATTTTTCTAACAGTTTAACAGGTAGGCTTGGCGTCGGCATTGTTTGTGTTGCTGCTAGTCTTGGCCTGTTTAGGCCTACGTAATTGTGTGTCGGCATTCTGTCTCAACCTGGCTTGCACGCAGCACTCCTGCTCTTGCGTGTGATTGCAGGCCGAGGAAAGCCGTTCCAAACCCCACCATGCGCTGCGGTTTGGAGTTTCGGTGCAGAGCGAAGAGGGCTCGGGAGTTGGGGGATCGTCTCTTGCTTGGGATGCCTCGCACGGGCTGCGCCTGCTGTTGCTGCAACGGCCACTTCCAATGCCACTGCCACTGTGACTGCTACGACTGCCACGACTGCCACGACTGCTACGACTCCTACGACTGCTACTACTACTACTACTACTACTACTACTACTACTACTACTACTACTACTACTACTACTACTACTACCACTACCACTACCACTAGTACCACCAGTACTGTTACGACGATCCAAAACTTTTGGAACCACAAAACTGCACAGCGAGAGCCCCTTGTCTCGGATTCGGTGTCTCGTGGTGAACGCATGGTAAGCTTACATGTAAACCTTGATCCATAACCCTACGTAGATGAAGAAGGTGCCTGCAAATCAGCAGATTCGCTTCTGCCGCTTAGCTGCACTCCGGTTGGTGTCGCTATCGTTGAAAGGATGATCGTGATGGTAGCGTGGTGCTGGTGATGATGCTTGTTGATCAGGCTACTGTTGTAGTTGTTGTGACCCCGTTTGCCGTTACCGTCAGTAATGTGTTGGAAGTAGGTCCGGTACCGTTGTTAGTAGGGTCACAACAGAGACAGTGAGAAAGAATTCCGTCACAGGGACAGCTCATGCGTTAGCACCGGCATGGCTGTTCTCATGTTTAGGCTCTTGGCCATTGCAGGTAGCTTTTTGCTGGCGCTTCTGGTCATCGGCGTAGTAGTAGTAGTCGTCGTCGTTGTAGATGTAGCAGCAACTGCTGCATGACCTGCAGGCAAGTTGGAGCTAGAGCTTTGCGTCTTGCCATCTAAACCGCAAGCCAATCCATCGAAGTGGATATGGGGCGGCACCACCGAGCACTGAACCAAAGCAATCGGCCCAATACTAACTTAATCCAGCATAAGCCAATGGAGCGATTAGAAAGTCTTAGGAGCACGCACAGCAAAGATAGCGCAGTATGGCAACAGTGCTTAGATGCAGCTGATATTTCAAAGGTGGCAGGACGTGGGAACCATGAGTGTAGCTGTGTCATGTTACGGACGAGTATAGCGTTGCAGCAGCACAGTAGGGCAACATAAAAGCTGACACGCTCGACCCCCCGAAAAATCACAAGTCGGTGTCGGCTTCAGGATAAGAGCGATCGACAATCAGGGCGAGGAAGAATAGAAGGGCAACACCAACGATTCGAACGGTGAGAGGTTGTGAGTTATGACCCTCATTCTTGTGACTGCGAGTGTGACCAGAAGTATCTTGAACAATATGCACTGCTGGTGCTCATCACCATCAGTGTTAACATATCCTTTTCGTGGGTTGCTGCTGTTTTTTCACTTCAGGCCAAGTTGGCGACTGCTCTGCAGCCATCGAGCCCCTCAAGAAGTTCCTGACAAACTACCTGGGTGGCGCTATCGATGGTCAAGACGAGAATGGGCTCCTGGGTGTACTTAGACGGTTTAGGGTTTAGGGCTTTGGTGTTACTCTCAGACTCGAAGAGTTCTGTAGTGGGTTACGGCTCAGGGCATACGACGTGGAGTTTAGATGCTTGACGCCGCAACCTTGAGCCTCCCAGACCTTAGCTTCCTACAGTAAACCCCATAAAGTTGGAAACCAGATCCTTTATAAGGGATCTTTAGGTTTCCTTAAAGGGATCTACAGGGTTTAGAAGTAGAACCCATAAAGTTGGAAACCGCATTAAGGCCAAATAGTGCTGGGATTTCCTATACATTACTCTTAAGGATTGAGGCTATTGGGTTTCCAACTTTCTGGCTTCTGTAGGTTAGGTCTTGAGGAGCTGCCTTGGGGGTAACTTTTTTAAGTTTTGCCCGAGCACCCTTCGACTTGGGGGCGAGGGTTTAGGGTTTTAGGGTCGAGCATCGGTCTTAAAGTGGAGGGTGTAGGGCTTTGGGTTTCAGAGTTTAGGGTTTTGGCTTTTCTTGAAAGATGCCTGCTCAAACCCGAGATTTTTTGAAAATTCAGACTGCCGAGGGGCCCTCCTCGCCCCTGCGGTCTTCCCCCAACCCACGGGTCCTTCGCAGTGCTTGTGGCAATTAGCGCCTGTCGCACTTCAAGCGGACCATCCGATACTTAGAGGATCATGGGACTTAGTAAGTAGGGTTATAAGTACCTGAATTAGGGTGATAAGTAGGTATAACTATAGTTACCTTACTTATAACCCTACTTACTAAGTCCCCTGATCCTCCAAGTAGCACCCCGACCCCGACAAAGGCTTCGGCACCCTCACATTGGGTAGTTGTCAAAATTAGGGTCCCTTTTGGGGTGCCCGAAATATTAGGTGCCGTATTATATGAAGAACCACAATGGGACCATAATTTTGACAACCACTCACATGGGAACAGGACCTTTGACTTCGTACGGTGAGTGGCTGACGTGGGCGTAGAAGCTCCTAGTTCCGTGTTTGTTTTCCTTGGGAGCTACAACAATTCCCAGAAGCATGACTCTCTGGAGGAAAATGATGATGCCACTGACAAAGCTGGTGGAAGATAAGTAGCATACAAACCAAGCAAGCAAGCATACGAACAAGCGAACAATCCAACCAACCAACCCACGAACCACAAACACAACAGCAACGGCAACGGCTGTGGCAGCAGCAGCAGCAACGACATCAGCAGCAACAACAACAACAACAGCAACAACAAGAACAACAGCAGCAGTAGGGGCAGTCACAGTATTAGCAGTCGTTGCTGTCATGCGTCGCAGGTGCTAGGTGGCCGGAGGTAAGAAGTAAGCGGTTGGTGCGGTGGTCGTGGCAATAGTAGTAGTCCTCGTCGTGGTCGTGTTCGTGGTGATGACGGTAGTAGCAGTTGTTGCTGCGGTTGTTATAGGGGTAGCACGAGAGGCTGCTGCAGGATATTCCAGTCTTGGCCGTGGAATTATGCCGATGATCAAGCTGAATACCATAACACTTGTTGACGTGCTTAACTACTCGTGTGGTACCCGCGACTTTTAGTCTAGGATCTTGCTTGTGATCTTAGGATCATGCGCCTGGTTGTGGATGTGTTTCTCAGCCGGGGAGCGCACGACAACAACTTGGGATGCTGGACCATGCGCGTCTGCGACTTCATGGTGGCCGCTCAGCTAAAGACACGTTTGGGTCGGGGGCAAAGTTATTGACGATTGAGTCCGGCGCTTGCCTGAAAGTGTGGTTTCAACATCTTACAGACAAACTTAGAAGCTGCAAACAACGAGCTGCAGACGACAAGCACCTCTTACGATCCCCTAAACCCTAAACCCTAAACCCTCAACCCTAAACCCTAAACCCTAAACAGCGTTGCAAACCGCTACTCCCGACAGTCCGATCACCGGATGCCTGGCTTTGACCGGATGCCCTGAACGTCCCAGCTGATCCAACTCGTGAGGGTGCAGCTGCCACATTTTTTCCTGTTGTCATACAGTTCCCTATGTTTATCCATAGATGTATTTCGCATGATGCTGCCTTGAACTAGAGATCAGAAGGGTGGGCAGCTAATTTATTGTGGCATGTGAAAACTACTTTGCACGCGACCACTATCACCACAATGTCCTCTGCCTTCTCCACATCCACCTCCTCCGCCTCGCCGCTGCTCTTACGCAAGCATTTGCAATTGTTGCGATGCTTGTAGCCAGCCCAGCAGGATCGGCTGGGTTGGAGCTTCGTTGTCTGCAACGTGTGCAACCTGGGCGAGGCGTGAGAGTAGCCCGAGTTTGTGATGAGCCACGGACAAGGGTTTCAGTTTTCGTTCCGGCATAGAGGTCGAAGGCTTGTACTCGCCCTCCCGACGTGCAGCAATTCTCTCAGCAGGTAAGAGTGCTTGTATTGCCATGGCTGTACCGTAATCTGAGTATTTCAAGTCCCACAGTTCCACCTGCCTTCCTTGCCCTCTTGCGCGGTTGTTGGGTTTAGAGTTGGGATCCTCAAAGACTGACTCCCCCGGTTGAGCTTGCAATCTTGTTCGCGTCATTGCCTTTTTGTCCCTCAAGTCTTGGGCGTCACATGTCTGCAAATACAAGAGCTGCTTATTTACAATTTACAAAGCTACAGTTCCCTCCGCAAGGCAGTCTCGTGTGTTCGTCCTGGTGTGGTCAAGTCGTCTTTGGCTTCTCACAATCTCCTTTAGTCGAAGTGCTTTTGCGGCGCTTGAAGAGCTTCCGCTCGGCAGCAACCACCTTGGTTTTGGGGAACTGCCGAGTTGCTCTCTACACCATAAACCTCCGGAGCCCAGATCTCTGAACCCCAGATTGCGCGATTGTTGCCTGGTTAGCATAGAGGGTCCCGACTCCAAAGCTCGAATCCGTTGAACAAGACTGTGCCCGTAGCTTTTGGCATCACTAGGCTGGTATCTTCACGCCGAAGCTCAGGATAAGATACCTTATACCTTGTGGGCCCTCATAACAAGAAGTACCATACCCTAAACTCTGCACCCCCCCAACCCTTAACCCCTAAATCCCTAAACCCAAGGGCCAAAATGCTAGCAGGCGGGGCGATGCCGCGAGCAGCAGCTGGTATTTCGCTACGATGGGCCCTTGAGACACCTACCGGTGGTCCGGAACTTGAACCACGTGCTTGACGAGGTCGGGACTTTGGGGGGTTTAGGGTTTGGCTTTAGGGTCCACCACGTGCTTGACGAGTGGGTTTCGTGTTTAAGAGCATCCACTGGTCGCTTGTCGTGACGACACCTTGGTCACCAGCTTCGGACAAAGGCAGCTTTCCATGGGCTATCGCTGCCACCCTACTGGCTGAACGAAGACGTGCCCCTTGTTTGCAGTGTGGAGTTTGCTGAGGGATGCATGGATTTGGATTGGCTAAGCCGGCTACGGCGACCACAGCTACAAACTTTGCACTAATTCGTTGTGTTGACGGATAACCCATCTGAACACGAGAACTTCTCACAGGACCGAATCCCCGCTCGTGGCAAGCGCCCGCCCACACTTGCACAAGACGCCGGCGCCAGAAGAAATCCGTTTTGTGAGTGCAGCATTCCCACAACGCAACACTACACCTGGGTCCTCCTTTGCAAGGAAGCAGGCCCGCCCAATTAAAGCCCCCCGAAATATCCAGGTTGGCGCACAGGAAGAACCGTTCGATTGAAGTCTGCTCACAAGACGAGGTGGCGAACCTCCAGGACACTCTTCCTTTTGGGGCTTCCGAAGAGTTCCGTGAGGGTTTTGGGGTTTGGACTTTAGGGTTTGCGCTTTGGGTCCGGAGTTTCAGGCTTCGGGCTTGGGGTTTTGGGTTGAGGGGTTGACGAGAGTTAAACGGCTCGGGGACCGTTAACTCCTAAACCAATTGTTTGCACACTTCCGGTTTCATGGTGCAGAGGCTCCCCAGCATTGTAGCTGCCCTCATTCTAACACTAATCACTAAGGATCCTTAGTATAATTCGCGAAACCGTCCCTTAATCAAGGCATTTTGGAGTTTCCGGGTGAGGCTTCAGCGCTTTGCAGCGCACGGACTGTCAGCATCCAATCTTGCCAATGGCACAAAATGGAACACTGTGCAATCAGTAACGCTGTTCCATGAGCTTCCTTCTTAGAATGCGACTAAGCTGTGCTTCAAAACTCTGTTCCACATCTACTGGCCTCCGTACAACTTCGGTTGTAAGCCAATACGTATGTAGGGACAGAACGTACCCTTAAACCCACAAATTTTCCAATATACTTTGAAGAAAGGATTGCTCCCTTGTGTTTCTGGAAACCGGGTTCGAAGACATGCGGCACAACAGCCAAGCCCTCTGCAAACCCCACAGTCCCTAAACCCTAAACCCTAAACCGTCTGGCAGGAGATCTTCGATGAGACCTTCAAGCGCATTCTCACACGAGACCGTGTCTACGAGTATCAGGCGAGGGGGGCACATCATGCACGATGGTTGGTACTTGCTGATATAATATATGTACATATATATATATATGTATATATGTACATATAATACAGCTCAGTATCATGTAGTATAATAATGTAAAAAATATAAATACTACGTTATGCTATATTCTATGTCTAAGTATTTGTGCTCAGCATTTAGGGGACGGGTTTGGGGAAGAAGCCTTCGGGTTCGAAGCTGCGGGCCTTAACGGAGGGTTGGTTCGTCGACTGAGTAGCAATCATAGGGACCCTCCCAGACCTGACGACCATAGGGATGCTTAGGGTTCAGGGTTTAGGGTTTAGGGTTTAGGGTTTAGGGTTCAGGGTTTAGGGTTGAGGGTTTAGGGTTTCCCTCAGGGGGGTAGGGGGTAGGGGGCTATACTTCCTCAAATAGGCCTCCTTATTATGGGTATTAGGGTCCTAATGAAACATCGACGCTGGCTTTCAAACATGGTTGCTGCCAAGAAAGCTTCTGAAATCCGAAGCCCAAGCTGAAGTTGATTTTTAGGGGCTCCATCAAGACCACGTAAGGAGGTGTAACGAACCCGCCTTATCGGGGCCGTCATACCCAGTCGGTAGTATGCTTATGCCATCCTCCAGGGACCTCAGCCCACGACCTGTCGTTTCTAAGTGCCACAAAGTCCACAGCAAACCCCCGAAGCACGAGACCGTGGCCGCTAAAGCCCATGTCCAGAGATCCTTCTTGGGCTTGAGGTTTAGGGTTAAGGCTACCGGGAATCGGGCACCCTGATCTTAAAGCTCAGGCCCCCAAACCTTATACCCTGAACACAAAGATCAACATCCTCAAGAACCCAGCGACTCCAATATCTCGTGCTGACGGAAGATTCCTTAAAGGATAGCAGGAACCCTGCCTGAACCTTTAAACCCCTGAACTCTACTTGGGCGCTTAGGGCTAAGTAAGGTAACTATAGTTATATCAAGTTGTATCTACTTATAACCTTAATTGGGGTGCTCATAACCCTACTTACTAAGTCCCATCATGATCCTCTAACTAGGTCCCAAAGCCCTGCACCCGTGGAGTCTCTTTGAGCCCGAGGCCCGCAGCAACGAGGAGATGCCTTATCGCCTCGAGGTGGTGCATGCCTTCAGGATGGGGAGGGTTTAGGGTTTTGGGCTTAGGATTTAGGGCTTAGGGTTTGAAGTTGATGATGGTGATGACATGGATGGTCATGATCATGGTGCCGAAGGTGTTGTCGGTGGTGGTGCTGACGATGGTGCTGGTCATAACCCGAGGTGCTAAACGAATGCCGGTCCTCAGATACTAGGAGCGAGAATGCGGAGCTCTATCTCAAGTTCGCAGAGCGGCGAGAAGAGTACAAGGGCGGCTGGCCACTGAAGGCCACTTGGGGGCTGGATGTTCAGGAGTGTCGGGACGAGGACGCATGACGTCGCATGAGTTAATTTGGATGATGAGGCGAGGCTGTGGCTGTGTACAGGACATCATCTTGCAATATACCGTCTCAACATGTCTTCGTGAATTTGTATGTGGCGTTCACTCTTACGCGGCCATGCACTGCTTAGCCTCACCATATAGGTAATGTCAGCCCGCCTGTTCACCTACACTGAGTTGTGGAAGGTTGCACACAGCATTAAGTAATCATTGCATGGCACATACAACTATGCGTAATTGCACATCGCCGCAAGTTGTGCGATGACGGTCCCTTGTTTGCTTATGATGGCCAGTGGCCGGCACCCGCATTGTAACAAGTGTTTTCGATTTCTTGCTGTGACAATCGTACTGTTTCGCTATCAAAATGTATGTGTATGTATATACATGTTCACGAATTATTGATGTAATGTTTCGTCTGGTTTTTACACTTATATGCATGTTTACACTGTCGCGATATCGCACGCATTCGTGACCTGTCTATTCATCTTGTTGCTCATCTTGCTGCAACGGCGAGCTCTTCTAGTGGCATCCTGCAACCAGCGCATGGTTGGTACTGTGTGTTGTAGTCTTATGCCGCTTCATACAGCAAACATG